AGTGTATGTGGCATCGAGAAGTGACCTTAGGTACCTTGTGTTGAGTGATATAAGTGATCTTAATAATTATGGGAAAAACTAACCAATGAAAAAAATAGATGCATCGGTGAAATTTATAACAGGAGGAAACAATTTCTAAGTACTGGGGTTTATAGAACATGATGGATTATTACACTATTGAGCTTTGAGAAAAAAGTAAACTTTTCCTCCCTTAAGTTTACATGTCACAGTAACTAGTAAAGTACTGAACATAGAAACTGGGTACTGAGGAGAGTGATGAACTGGTTTGAGGGCAGTGTGGAAGAGTGTGGACCATGAATTAGAAAATCTCTATTCTTCTGTAAGCAGGGTTGAGTGTGCCATTTCAATGCAAACGTGGAAGACCAGAACACAGTGTGCAGTGGATGCTTAGATAATGAGGTTTCAGAAGAGACTAAGGCCTCTTGGGAACTGGACTAGAGATTATCTGAATTATACTTTGACTTCATTCTGTTTACATTCTGAGAACTGACTGAGGCTGAAATCAGTAGTAATGACTGACCCATTAGGCAGAGGAAATCTCAAGACAGAATGGTGGTCAGCTGTACCACGGCTACTGCCTACTGCTCTCATGCAAGTCTACAGTGAGAGGAAGAAATTTGCTAAACAGAAAGAGATTTTAAACTTCTAAAGTTTGGCCAGAAACGATCTGTGGCTGAGTTTAAAGATCCAGAAAGGGAAAGTTTGAAAAAAAAAAAAAAAGACTATAATTGCTAAAGAGATTAGTGTCTTTTAGTGTCTTATAGAAACAGGAAAAGCCTGGGGACAAGATGTTGGAATTCCTGGACACTCCCCCAGCTGTATGACCACACATGCACTGTCCAGTAGACAAGCAAGAGACTTAGTTGTTCCTGGAGCTTAGGTCCTACATAATCCATTCACTGTGTGATCACATCATCTATGTGCATGCTCGGCATAGCTTCGTAGCCCATCTGCACAAGTGCGGGGGCTGGGGGGAACCCATAAAAAGCAGGTAACAGACTCCTCCCCTCTTCTTCTTCCTCTCTCTCCATGCACAATCTTCCACAGGCCTAAGCACATTCCCCTCTGTTCCTTCTCTTAATAAACACTTATAGTGGGTTTTGTTGTACCTCGTGGCTTTTCTCACACGGTAAACAGCATCACTTATGAATAACACAGCACCATATAGTTATAACTAACACAAGACCCTGCCAACCCTAGGCTGAAGTTTGTGGAAATGCAAATAAATCTACAAGGAGATAACGGGGAGTGGGAATGCTGCTGACTGGGTTCCTTGCTCAGAAACAACTTCCAGGTATGCATTCCCTGGGTCAGCACACAAGGGCCAATGCAGGGGTGGTCTAAGGAGAGCAGACTTCTCTGCAGAATTTTCTGTAAGATACACATTCATGTATTTACCACCCACAATAAGATATGATAAACTACAAGCACTGTGGAAGTTTTAGTCTTGTTTTCTTAAGCAGCAAACACTAATCTGTAATATCTTTTTGTTTGTTTTGAAACAGGGTCTCACTGTGTAGCCCAGGCTGGCCTAGAATTCTTTATGTAGCCAGAACAGGATCTGAACACCTGGAAGTCCTCCTGTCTCAGGCTCCCATGTGCTCCTATGTGAGTGACTAGGAGTTAGACTTCTGGGTACACAGACAGACAGGTGGGCCATAGTTGGGTAGGGCCAATTTCCAAGATGGTCAGCTTCTTCCACACCCTTCTGACTTGAGACAAAAAGCCTGGTAACTTAAAACTAATGCATTGTAGACTCTTTTCTGCCCACAGCAGGCCCCTGCTGAAGAGCTGACTCCATGGGTTCAAGGCCCCTTACATAATAGTTGGAAGCCAACCAACCCTTTCTTTCTTCAAACTGACCAACCCTAAATTTGGGGAGGAATATCCTTCAGAGACTTTAAATGCCCCAGCCCCAGAAGAGCCTGGGTTTTTTGATGGCTGAGTACTCTCTCTGCTTTGCATAGGGTCTTTTTCTCTGTGTGCAGAACTTCTGCATGCCTGTGTTTCCTCATCTCAATAAACATCGTCAACTGCTGAGTCTGTCTGTTGCTATTTGTGGTGTTTGCAATTTCTCCACTGCTACCTAAAGCACTCAGAGTTTTCCTGTCTTTCAATTCTTTCACTGGTGGAAACAAACGCAATCAGAATTCCTGGGCCATATCACTAGGCTCTTACGGCACGGGCCGGCACTCCAGTGAAATCTTTCTTTGTTAGCTTACCTGAGCAGTGCGGTCAAGAGGACACGAAGCACAAACCCAATGCCAGCGTGATTTAGTGGAGTAAAGACATACAGAGAGCTACTTTTAATTTCAGGATGATTTTATTTTAACATTCCAAATTTCCTTCTAAAGTCATCAAAGAAATCTATGGAGGTGATTGGGCAACATTCATTTTATACTAGATGTCAATAATTAACATTTTTTGTGTTGCTCTGTAGGGAAAGAAAATGTAAAGACCTGTATAGCCCCAAAATATGTTTTCTGACACAGAGATAAAGAAAGTCAATGTTTTGAGAATAAAGGTTTTTTTTTACCTTAAACAGCACTGTCCTCTAAACAGAAGAAAATGCCGCCCACACACAAGACAAGTGATTGCCAATCACACACAGCAGAACACAGGCAATGCTTTGGCTTAGTAAAGAAATAATTTAAATGCTTATGACAACGAAGTCTCACTTCTGTAATTTCTGTTTCATCATATTTAACATGTTAATAAACATGGAATATCTGTTTTTACTGAAAACAGTGAAAGGACATTAACTACACAGTGAGCAGAAAAAACCATAGCTTTTTTCTTTCCATATTATAAGATGGCGTTTGAATTTTGAAATTGTTGATAAATTGATCTGAATAAGTATTCAGTTTGGAATTACACGTTTTTTGTATTGTAAGATTTTCTTATTGACACATATTTCTAGATCCTTAAAACTATTTTAATATTTTATTACTGTTTGTGTATAAATTTTAAAATCAACTATCACATTGATGGGTGACATGTTTAACTACATAATTTATTTTTTCCTTCTAGCTTTCCATTACAAACCACAAGTCTTTGAACTTGTGATTAGGTTCCATAGCCTGAGGGTTTGAATGTTTTTCCAGAAGGCTTTCAATTTCTTTAATGCCTGCCTCGTCCACTGGATTCAGTTCAAATTTTTCTAATGGGAAGCATACTTTCAAAGTGCCTTGATTCCACATTTTAATGATTTTTTAAAATTTTATTACTCGTAACTCAGGATATTCACAATAAAGATATTTAAAAATTTTTATATTTGGAAATATTTTGGTTTTTTTGTTTAGCTTCAAAGATTAAGTAATTCCACAGATTTCTCAAGTAAAAACATCTATATAGAACAATGTGATATTAGAAGATTTCTGAAATTGAATGATAGTCTTTTGACAATAGTGTTGATTACACAGAATATGAGAGAAATCACCAATATAGTTACTTGATGAGGAAAACTAGTGCTTTTCATTAAAATACAAACAGTTTGCTGCATTTTTATTATTTTTTTCTTTTTTTTTTGGTTTTTTGAGACAGGGTTTCTCTGTGTAGCTTTGCGCCTTTCCTGGAACTCACTGGGTAGCCCAGGCTGGCCTCTTACTCACAGAGATCCGCCTGCCTCCCGAGTGCTGGGATTAAAGGCGTGTGCAACCACCACCTGGCTGCATTTTTATTCTTAACCATATTTGATTTGGGAATATCCTCTTACATTTATAGTAGGGAAATGATGTCAGGAGCTGACTAATTATTTTTAAAAATACTGGTTATTCCTCACAATATATATTTTTAACTTGCATATTTACTTCAAATTGTTCCAATTAATTAACATTCATATTTTTGTTAAATGCATGAATTTAAAATACTAATATATATGTGTATATATATACATATATGGTGGATATATATATTTCAATGCACACACACACGCACACACGCACGCGCACACACACACACACACACACACTCATGCATGCACAGTTCAGTGGCCTTAAGCACAGCACTGAGCCATGTTCCTCCCACTTCCATCATCTTTGTTTAGGAAGGATGTTCGGTCTACTCTGCTGCTCCACATTACACAGTTATTCACCCTGGTCTCATGTCTCATAGTTCCATTTCCCATCTACTTTTATTATTATTCCAGATTCTTCTTTTTCCTTCCTTCCTTCCTTACTGCCCCCTCATCCCCAACAGCCCTGCAATAGTCCCTTGCTTTTTTAAAAACTTAGCACCTTCCGGCACTCCACTCCCCTTCAGAACTTTGGCATGGCTTATCGCTCCCCAGAACCCATTTGCTCTGCTTCCCTCTGCCATCCCTAATGTTCGCCCATCCCTACAGAAGTACAGACCCAATCCTTTGCAACTTTTCCCATTTCTTTTTTTCCATAACAAAACATTTCTTTGGAAGGTACAGCTATGAATCTCCAATGCAAATGCAGTGAACCAGCACAGAGAAAGGCTCTGTATGAGATGAGAAATTCTGTGAAACCATGGCAACACTGAAGTGCGGTCTGGTCAGTGCTTAGCTGATTGCATTTTCATTTGTAATGTGGAAGGACTGCCAAGAAACTGAGTGGTGCTGACTGTGATGGCAGATGGTCCCTGGAATTCGACGCTGCTGAAGTCCTCTCCAGAATGACCCGTGATGATTGGGATGCGAAGTTTGATATTATGCATAATTGCCTACAGTTTAACAATGGATGGAAACCCACTAAAAAGCAATGCTAAAGCTATCATTTTCTAAAGGTATTACAATTATAATCACAAGGAAAATGGATCTGCAATAATTTTATTTTTAATGGCTTCAGATTGCATATGCTGAGATTTCAAAGTTAGTCTTCATTAGCAATCTTTATATGCTACAAGATACATTATTCTATGGATTTTTAAATTCATTCAATAAATACTTACCAAATGCCTTTTGTGTGCTAAACACACTTCATCATCATTGACAAAATGTATCATTTGTAACTTACCATGGGCCATGCGGTGGAACCAGTAGTAGCCAAAGTCAACTCCTAAGAAGGTCAAATACCATGTCCATGGAGAATCCCAAGGCAAATCAACAAGTCTGTAGTTCTCCCATACATAAATGTAGCTGGTCACTTCAAGGCTCCTGAAGAACAGACTGGAAAATAAAATCCACGGCAATGGTTATAACTGTATCCTTAATTATGCTAACACAGTCTAGATGATGTTCAGTATGAGTATATGCATACATAAAAATGATTCTGTCAATGTTCCACTTCTTGCTTTGTCTAATTCCCTACCCCAGCATCCACACTATCCCCTGATATTTTCTTTTGGTTCCTAGGCATAGGGGAACCAGTTATTTGCACTCTCAATTTCCAGAAATTTGGGAGACTCTTCCCTTTTTGTGTCTCTTAAAACACTTTTTATGGAACACATCATACATAATAAATCTTACTAAACTGCACCTTAATTCCTGTTATTGTAATTTCTAAGTTTTAATGAAGAACACAGCAAGCATGGCTGACAAGAGAAGACTGAAAAGTTGAAAACTACACCTGGAATGCTTCCTAAGGAGCCCGAAAGCTGCTTGCTGTCATTAGAGACGAAAATCCATCAAATCTGCGTAGTCTAAAGTGACTCCTTCTGCTCTCTGTCCTTTCTATTCCTCTTGCAAACATCCTACTGTTATTGTGGTGTTACACCTTAGGTCCATGTCTTTGATAAGTCATATGAGAAACGTAAGGTAGAGCTTTCAGAATATTAGGAAATAATTTTCTATCAGAAATGAGGCACATAAATCTACTCAAAATAAACAAGTTAAAAAAAAAAAGAAGAAACAGAGCTAGAGAGATGGTTCAGCAGTTAAGAACACTTACAGTTCTTGCAGAGGACCTAAATTCAGTTCATAGCACCTACATCAGGTGGCTTACAACCTCCTGTAATACTCCAGCTTGAGGGAATCTGAAACCCTCTTCTGGCCTCTGGAGGCACCATGCATATATTTACGTTACAGGCATGCAAACACACACACATACATGTAAATAAAAATGTAAATGAAATACTATCTTTTTAAGATCTAGAAACTAAAACCTGTATTTCTGCCTATTTTATCAAGTTTCTATAAATTTTTGTTTAAATCCTTTCAAAACCATATAAAAATCCTTTGCTTGCCACTGTGTATTGGACAACAGTCAGACATCCGAATATTCAATTTCCAATTTGAGATGACATGGCTGGAAGCTTTGCTCCTGTGGGTGAGACCTTAACCCAAAACAGTTCTCATCTTTGATTCTAATACCAGTGTTCTAGATTCACCAGAATCTCTGGCCTAACTGGCTGGCAGGCCTTCCACAGTTCTTAGTCTTAGAGCAATGTTCCTGAGGTCAGGCCTTTGCAGGTGTGCAGACCCCCAGCCTTGCCTAGATGCCCAGAGTGGATGGTTTGAGACAAGCAGAAAAGTACTGCTGTATGTCAGTTTGGGGTATCTAAAAATACATACTCACTTTCTCATTGGGTAAGACAGGCCATAGGCCATGCTCCACGGATTCCTACAGTATTTCAGAGGCACGGAGAACTGGAAGTGTATAATCTATTTTCTAAACTATTACCAGAGGTATTCATCAAGAGAGGATTCTAAACAAGTTTTAATTTAAAAGTGCCCAGCTTGGACAGTAATTTACATGTTTAGACCAGGGCATTTCAACAATGTCACTCTTGAAAATTAGGCAGGAGAACTCATTTTGTAGGGGACTATTCAAAACAAACCTTAAATCAAGATATAAGCTTTTCAAATCTGTCTCGAATTTCTGTTAATAGGGTATCAACTGTATAAGGTTCCCTTCTAGGTTCAAGTGTTGAACAAAGCCAGAATTTTTTACGGTCCAAGTTCGTAACTTCTCTAACAGGGAGATTCTGACCATGACACTGCGGCCACTTTGGCTCAGACGACTCTGGTAGGAAAGATGGCCTAGGTCCACTTCAGTTGGAGAAAACACCCTGCTGTCTCTCTAGGTTCAGCAACGCCACTCCCCTCATCATCTGTAACAACCAAACATGTCTCCAGACATTGCCAAATGTTTCCTGATGAGCAAATGCGTCCCAAGTTGCTAATCACTGCCTTAAAGCAAGAAAGAAAAATTAGAAGAAAGAAAGAAAGAAAGAGAGAGAGAGAGAGAGAGAGAGAGAGAGAGGGAGGGAGGGAGGGAGGGAGGGAGGGAGGGAGGGAGGGAAGAAGGAAGGAAGGAAGGAAGGAAGGAAGGAAGGAAGGAAGGAAGGAAGGAAGGAAGGAAGAAAGAAGAATTAAAGCAACAAAAAGTCAACAGAAGTTTACCATACTGTAAGGATTGTTAGGCAAACTTTGTTACAAGGTATCAAATTAGACTAAATTGCATATTTATCGGTCACTTGTTAGCTCCATACTGGGAGCTGTTTCAGTCTCAGGGGCAGTCCAGGGCCCAGGGCAGATTGTTGAACATGGACTATAATCACCTGGCTCACGGGGGTTTCATTAGTTCAGTATGTTCCTAAAGCTTTTGCAATCTTCTTTGTCGGAGACAAGTGAAACAAAATTAAGACACTGTCTAGACCTCAATCGAAGAGGTGCTGTGAAACTTTGATTTGTGAAACCGAGAGAGCCGGCTGGCTGAAACCAAGCGCTGCTTATTTCCTGCACGGGTGTCCGGTATTGAACAGACATCTTCTCTATTCCTCTGTCAAGTGGGTTATTAGGGTTGACACAAGTCAACCTAAAATATTCTTGTACACTGTGTCAGACCTTTCTCTTTTCCACACTTTAGCAAGAGGCCAAATTTTCTTCAAGGTAAATGAACAGAGCAGTATGGAGTGATGCCCCCTGCTTTCTCTCAGCAAGAGAAACATGATCCTATTCCATTACACATATACTCAGTGCCCACAACTAAAACAATTTGCTCAGGCCATACAGCTGGGAAATGATTATCAAATTCTGGAAAGTCCTTGATGGCAGGAAATAGCACCTACGTTTACAAAACTGTTCCCACCAGATCCAGAATCATAAACCAGAGCGCCTTCCTTTGTCTGTTTCCAGTTCCTCCGCCCCACCCCGAAGCCCTCAAGTATGACTCTGCATTCTGGAATTTTAATTTGAACTCTCTAAATCCTTTTCAGTGGGGAGGGACTTCCATAACTTGAATGCATAGACGTAAGGGCCTCACTTGATCATGTGGAGACGGAATGGTAAGAAACCCAGGGTCTTACTTACAAATACTTATTCTTTTCCACATGGACCGCGGATGTGAGATCAAGGAAATGATCTGAGTATCAACAGACATTAGGGGCTGCTGTGCAGCGATCTGTGTGTACAAAGGCTTTTGTTTGCTGCTCAAGGTTTTTTCATGAACTCCCCTCAAACAGTGGCTTTCTAAAGTTAGAAATACATGGTAAATTCAGGCCAGGGTGTAAAAAGTGAACTAATTCATAGTTTGTCCTCCAACCTCTGCAAGTAAATTGTGGCACAGCACACACACACACACACACACACACACACACACACACACTTAAAATATATTTGAGTGTTAGGCTTAATTTTTTTTTTTTTAGAAAGGCTATATATTTATTTCAAAACCTCTCGTAACTGACCTCTGAACTTGGGCTGTCTGTCTGTCTGTCTGGAACTCTTGCCACTTTTGCTCCATCTAGTGGAATATTGACTTTTCAATATCTCAACGATAAGATGAACGATACAACTTCTACTTCCTGTAAACAGTCACAGCCTTTTCTGCCACTTCTTACTGTACAGTTGCATCACATTTATTTATTTATTTATTTATTTATTTATTTATTTATTTATTTATTTATTTATTTGTTTGTTTATGATAGCCTCATTTCACTAAAACAACCACTAAGCCATAAATATATTTGTTACATTCTTTACCAGAAAATCTGCTACTGTAATAAAAAAGTGTGTAAGTCCTGCCTGGGAGCCCATGGAGCTATATTCACTGAAGAAGGTAATGTCATCAAAGTAACAGATTTTTCTTTATTCTCTAGCCCCACCCTAAGGACTTGAAAATATTTCAAAAAAGTTTAATTTCCTCCTTTTAATTTTTTTTTTTGGTCAGGAATGGAAAATTCCATTGCAGGCACAACCAAAAATTCTGTGTACTACACTGAACATTACAGAGTGAGCACCATAGTCAAAGCTGGCCATGACCCCTAAGTCATCATAGTGGGGTATCCTCAACTTACTTGAAAATTTACCTACTTAAATTATCCCTTGAACCTACTGCAATTTGATTTACAATCTGCTGTTTCAACAGAATAAATGAACCCCTTAAAAACCAACATACCATAGATATTTATATTAGGAATAAAGCTTCTCCAGGGAGGGTGCAGTTTATGGAAACAGTAACTTGGGGAGGAAGTAACAAATTGAGGTCCTGGATTTCTAGCGAAGAAATGGAAATGCAGTTCTGCTTAAGCAAACAGGGAAGATATGATTATTTTTCACTCATTAAAGTATAAATCATTAGTAGAGTATTTTGAAAATTATGCTTTGAAAAAATAGACTTGGCACACATTTCATTCAATCAAGTTGAATTTTTATAGTTACATATGCAAATAAATTGGCAGAAACATAATTTATCTCTAAAAAACATCTTGTTAGTTATGATCAGTAGAAGAAACATCCTTTTACTACTCCAGTTCTGGATTCTGGTTAGAAGGCTGCCTACTGCATTTCAAAAGAGCAAATAAATGGCCCAGAATCTGATGTGAGGCAGACGGACTTTTATTATGGATAAAAGGCTTGCCCAACAGGCTTGTAAACAAGATACAGTCCTGTCTATGGTTAATATTTTCCCTTACATCAAAATCTTTCCTGTGGATATGGTAAGCAAGCTATTACTTTTAAAGAGACTTAAAATTGTATGCAATCATAATATCAGAATCATCAAATAAAGTTGTTTTACCTCAGAGTCTTCAGACAACATTTCTATTGCAAGAATTCAGAACTGGAATGAGATGCTCCCTATGCTCTCTAGTTTGTTAGAGGCTCTCTGGAATTATTATCTGAAGCACAATTCTCCGCTAGCAGGCTAAGTAATGGTATAGTATTGTTTTTCTTGCAATTACATACTTTAAGGATGTGGCAAGCCCCCATTGCTAGTACAGAAGATGAACCGGATTCCTTGGAGAGGCAAGGACCCTCGCCGTGCTAATCTACCCCTCAGCTGCTAATGATTTGCACAGGGATTCACGTGAGTGCTGCGGCGTCAACTGGAATACTAGTGCAAGTCGATGGCAAGTGGCTTTTCAATGGTCTCCCCCCCCCTCTCTCCCCTCTCTCTCTCTCTCTCTCTCTCTCTCTCTCTCTCTCTCTCTCTCTCCTTTTTTTTTCCTGTTTTCTGTGAGGAGACAGAGTGCAGCAAATCTAGAGAAGCAGCTTTCCTTTTCTGTTTATACTTTCATTCAAAAGTAGTAGTGAAATAAAAGAAAACAATTGACGTGTGCCTTCCAGGTTGGTTTCTTTGCTGGGATGTTTCAGACAATCTGCATTGAAAACTGAGAAACTTTTTAAAAATTTTTTTAAAAAGTGTCATTATTTTAGAATTCATTATTTTTAAACCACAAGAAAAAAAACAAAGACCAGCAACTTTATTATAATTAAAATATAATTATTATATCTAAATTAAATTATAATTAAAATATAGCTGCAGAAAAACACTGTATAAGTTCAAGTTAATAACGTTGTACGTTTCTTCAGAGAGAGACAGAATAAAAAGTTTTTGGAATTTTTTTTAGCTTAAGGAGTCTTAGAAGCAGTGGGCAAGAGAACAGAACCTCACCTTGTGTTCCTGAAGGACTTTGCTTTTACATTTTGACTATCTGCATTGTTCTAAGTTTCTCCTTCTCTCTCTCCTTGCCCGCTCCCTGTTCTTCCCCTACAGGAACCCCTTTTCACCCCTCACCTCCATTTGCATTCCTTTCCCAAATAAATTGTGCATATGTGTGTGTGTGTGCACATGTGTCTCTGCTTTTTGACACAAGATTTTGTAAAAGCCTATATTTGGAGTCTTGTTTTGTTGTTTTAACTTAGTAACATCATCAGTCAGATTGCTGAGGAGAAATGCTGTACGGAGAACAAAGTGTGTTTCCAGGGGAGAGTCTAGCTTTACTTATAACCAAAATCAAACTTTAAAAAGGGAAAAAAAAAAGCCAAAGGATTAATTCAATGCAATGTCTCTTGAATAACAAAACAATAAGTATAAAAGTGCTCCTTTCAAGGCAGTAAGACACGTGACCCGTAACTGCACCAGCACAGACAATACTTCTAGGTTATTAGATGATTTTCACAGTCGAAAGATCAACCGATTCCCAAGAACTTTTAATACCTCATGTTCTCAGAATGAGCTATAGAAACCAAGTGAATTATCCTCAATAAAGAAATCTGTATCTAAATCTACATACCTGAGCGTGTATATTCGGAAGGGGTGCGTGCTCATTTCTGATACATGAAATCACATACTACAGGAATTTGTCAATAATTTGAATTGTTATTAGGCAATCTGAGACTTACTCAGAGGAATAATCATCCACTAATTCTGACATTAGTGTGTTAGCACATCTGCAGTTACTCAACTCATTATTTTTTGACTACAAACCTAATGACTCAATTTACTCAAAGTAACACATTGATGGGTATTTTTAAGGCTTACTTTCTACCCTAACATATTATGAAATTTTATCAAGTTATTGTACCCTCTTTTCAGATGTAATTCAGATTTAATGTCATTTTTGAAATCCACCTTGATTTCCCACTGTGTGGTTCCAAGAAACATTCCAAAGTGACGAGCTCTGATCGGAAGTGAAACTCCACAGATATTAAGAAGAAGCAGGGGTGGGAGGCTGTACTGAGCACACTCTTCACTAGCTCAAAGCTCCCTAGGGGACTTTTCTCTTGGCCCCTGGTTCTTTGGTTAATTTACATACACAGAAGGTGCCTCTGTCCATCTGCTGAGTTTTCATCCTATACCTCTTAACTTTATAAAGCAGATCACTTATTGATTGTTTAATCTCTTATTTGTCTAGTTTTATCATTATCATGACTCTACAAAGAATATTGTTTTAGAGCATTTGTTATGTACCAGACATCATCCCAAGAGTATGAACTCTGATATGAGCAAAACTCCTGATTTCATGGTGCATGAAAGTTAAGGAGTGAAACATGAAGAGAAGAACCTTCAACCCTGGGATTATTGAGTCTGGAGTGAGCACAGAAGTCAGAGCATGCCCAAGCGAGGGTTAGGAAACGGATGAGGTTTGCTGAAGTTATGTGCATGCTTACACCTACAAAAGGAACTGGAGACAGCCACGTGGGTGACTTTCCAAACCCAATAAAGTGCCTCAGATATGTGCCATGACAGGTAAAGATACCAAAAGGATAGAGAGACTAAAAACGACAGAGAAACTAAAACCTTGTGTGTTTTAAGAATGATACTTTATGTCCAGGGAAATAGGGAAGTAGGAAAGGGCTTCCTCCTGGTCCCTATGATTTAAATATTTGGCTACCAATGGGACAGACTTCAGACAAAACTAAGAGAGATTTCTACTTGTTGACATAATTATGTCATTTTCATTGAGAACTAGCTGAGGCCTAGGGAGATATCTGTAGAAATGTGGCTGGAACAGAACATAGCTTCCATCAGGGATCTGGATGAAAACTGAGAGCAAGGTTACATTAAAGGTAGGGTAAAAAGTCACTTAAAAAGTCACTTTGGGGATACAGTCAACAAGGCAAAGCAACAGCCTACAGAATGGGAAAAGATCTTCACCAACCCCACATCTGACAGAGGACTGATATCCAGAATATATAAGGAACTCAAGAAATTAGACATCAAAATGCCCAACAGCCCAATTAAGAAATGGGCTATAGAACTAAACAGAGAATTCTCAACAGAGGAAACTCAAATGGCTGAAAGACATTTAAGGAATTGCTCAACATCCCTAATCATCAGGGAAATGCAAATCAAAACAACTCTGAGATACCACCTTACACCTGTCAGAATGGCTAAGATCAAAAACACTGAAGACACCTTATGTTGGAGAGGATGTGGAGCTAGGGGAACTCTCCTCCACTGCTGGTGGGAATGCAAGTTTGTACAATCACTTTGGAAATCAATATGGCGCTTTCTTAGAAAATTGGGATTCCATCTCCCCCAAGATCCAGCTATACCACTCTTGGGCATATACCCAAGGAATGCTCAACCACACCACAAGAGCACTTGTTCAGCTATGTTCATATCAGCATTGTTTGTAATAGCCAGAACATGGAAACAACCTAGATGCCCTTCAACTGAAGAGTGGATAAACAAAATGTGGTACATATACCCAATGGAATACTACTCAGCAGAGAAAAACAATGACATCATGAGGTTTGCAGAAAAATGGATGGATCTAGAAAAAATCATCCTGAGTGAGATAACCCAGACTCAGAAAGACAAACATGGTATGTACTCACTCATAGGAGGATACTAGATGTGGAACAAGGATGACTTGTCTGCTACTCACATCACCAGGGAGGCTACTTGGAAAACAGGAGCCCAAGAAAGACACGGGGATCGCCCAATGATGGAGAAATGGAAGAGATCTACATGAACAGCCTGGACATAAGTGGGGGTAATGAAGGGCGAGGGTCGAGGGAAAGAGAGTTTGGGGGAGCAGGAGATCCCAGCTGGATCAACAACAGAGAGGGAGAACAAGGAATAGGAGACCATGATAAATGAAGACCACATGAGAATAGGAAGAAGCAAAGTGCTAGAGAGGCCCACAGAAATCCACAAAGATACCCCCACAACAGACTGCTGGCAATGGTCGAGATACAGTCCGAACTGACCTACTCTGGTGATGGGATGGCCAAATACCCTAATTGTCATGCTAGAAACCCCATCCAACTACTGAGGAATCTGGATGCAGAGATCCATGGGTAGGCCCCAGGTGGATGTCTGGGAGTCCAATTAGCGAGAATGAGGAGGGTTTATATGAGTAAGAATTGTTGAGACCAAGGTTGGATAAAGCACAGGGACAAATAGCCAAATGAATGGAAACACATGAACTATGAACCAATGGCTGAGGGGTCACCAACTGGATCAGGCCCTCTGAATAGGTGAGACAGTTGATTGGCTTGATCTGTTTGGGAGGCATCCAGGCAGTGGGACCGGGTCCTGTGCTCATTGCATGAGTTGGCTGTTTGAAACCTGGGGCCTATGCAGGATCGCTTGGCTCGGCCTGGGAGGAGGGGACTGGACCTGCCTGGACTGAGTCTACCAGGTTGATCTCAGTCCTTGGGGGAGGCTTTGCCCTGGAGGAGGTGGGAATGGGGGGTGGGCTGGGGGGAAGGTGAGGGGGACCGGAGCAGGGAGAACAAGGGAATCCATGGCTGATATGTAGAACTGAATTGTATTGCAAAATAAAAATAAAAATTAAAAAAAAAAGTCACTTTGGGTAGAAACTGTAAGATGATATGGAAACTGAGTAATTAATACCAGCAATGTTCAGCATTCTCTATTAAAAATTAAAGATGAAAAGTCCATGCTGAAAAAAAAAAGGAAATTTCGAAGAATTTTTGTGAATTTTTCAGGAGTTTATGGAGAAATATGTCAAGTGTCCACATGATATCCCCTCTGCTTTACACTTGGGGAGTCATGGATCTTCATTCATCGTTCTAAACTATGACTCACCTTGGAAGCCGAGACACAACACCAGCTGACATGGATGTCAGAACATCATCGAGGCGACCTGGTGCCTTCCCCTTGAGAATCCAGCTGGTGACCAGTTCCAGCAGAATCAGGGAGATGAAAAACGGAGTGGCCTAGAAAGGAGATTTCAGGGAAGAGATGCTATTCTGTTCGCTATGAAATCCTCCACATTTTCTGATATCTTGGGAAGGAGGCACACCAGCAGGAGATGGTCTACATTTATATTTCAGTGCTATTTCCAAACCAATGAGCAGGAAAATTTAGTTATTTTAGATATACACTGAAGATATGTTCAAAATATACCATGCAATTTGCAAATGAAATAAAAGCATAAATACAACTATCACTGTTGTGCCAGAGAACAATTAAAATCAGGAAGGAGGAGCAGAAAGTGCGTTTCACATGGGTTCAGCCTGTAAGAGCCTATCTTCTGCCCTGAGCAAGTCTGGGTCACTCCAAGAGAACTCCTTAAAAACACCCCCAATTAGAGTGTTTAAAAATTAGAGTTTCTAGAACTACTTCTGATAATAACATGAAAGTAGTAGAAACAAAACCCAAGACTCTTAGCAAATAAGGTAAATTCCTAGGATTGTATCACCATCAAAGTTTCATTCATTCAGCTTTGATTTTGTGCTTTTATAATAATGAGTATTCAACTATTTATCAATGCATATTAGACTAGTATTGATGGTAGAATCTACAGAATAATAATTTTTGAAGACAAAAGTAGCACTTTTTTTTCACTGGATAAAAATGGCAAATATCAAATCTCAAAAGCAATATGGGCCTCAGTCATTTGGAAATGGATAATGAGTCTGAGGTTTTCTAAACTGAACTCCCAAGAACACACTCTGTGATGTCAGGTTTTCCTTGTTTCTGGTCTGAACTAGTAAGTGTTGTAGGAACAACTTTCACAGGGTGGGGAGCATCAGTGCTCAGTTTCTAATTCTGGATATTTCCACTTCCAATCACAGCCAAGCAACAGAAGTGAAAAATGCCTCAAAGGCTTGAAATGTTACAAAAAAAAAAAGGTTCAAGTTCAAACTTAGGAAGTCAGAATTATACTGTGCCAAGCTGTGTATCTTTCATGCTGCAGAACTACTCTACCAAATTAAAGAGGAAACACCTTCCTGGAGGTGGTGGACAAGTTAAACATTTTAAAACAAAATTGTTACAATGCCTACTGATGTGGTATAGCTATTTAATACTGCTTTCCAACAGCTAAATTTGCAATGTCACCAGGCCCAGGAAACTTTGAATTTTTTTCTCATATTCTAGAGGGATGTATAAGGGGATTTACAAACAAAGACGTAGATATTGTATAGAAATTGAATTCTCTTGAAAACTGTACTTTGGCTTCATGACTGTAAGACACTGGATTTTTATGAGGCTGTAATAATTCGAAGTAGGAAATTGAACGAATCCCCAGGATATGTTGAGTTGATGTTGCAAGAAGAGAGCAAGAGAACCTCTTTGCAGACAGCCTCACCTTTTTAACGTAATCGGGCACCTCTTCAACGGTTGGGAAGGCAGTTTCACTGGGCTTCATCAGATAAAACATCATGCGAACACCCTGGGAAACGGAGACATTGTCTTGGGCTCCCGGGCTCTGCATGTCTGTCCCTGTCTGATTCGCAGCTGGGGAGATTTGTGGTTCTGTGGTAGAAGCCCGAGACTGAACTAAGGAAAGGAGCCGTGCAGCACAGAGCGAGCCTTGTCAGAGAGACTCCGCAGACCACAGAGCTGCACGGGGACCTCCGCCAAACTCCGGCGGTGGAGTTTGTGTGCACAGGCACTGAACACTCGCGACAAGAGCGAGTTCAGAGTTCAGGGGCTGACTCCCCAGGAAGCAGAAAGTCACAAGAGAAGGAGGACCCAGAGAAACAAGCACAAAGTGCAGTTTGCCTCTAGCTGAAGCAACTCATCAGCAACAAACAGGAAAAATAAATAAATAAAGCACATCCAGTCGGGCCTGGGAAAGTGAAAGGGGAAAAAGCAAACAAACCAGTTTTGTAACGCAGGTGAAAGTTCACTCTGATACATATAACTGACTTTTGAACTTCTACCGCGTTATCAGAGTCCAAAAGTCAGATTACAGGAGCAAAATCATATTTTTCCTGAGCTGCACAATGTCTTTGAATTGTTGTTTCTTCACAGAATCCTGTCTTGGAAGCGACAGGGAGTCTGAGTAAGGGTTAGTTGATGCCTTTAAGCTGGAGGGCCTGACTTCTTACTGCCGATGTGTTTCTAAGCTCAGTCCTGCGAACTTTGAACGTTTTGCAAAGCGGTTCAGAGCCACCAGGTTTATCGCACACTCTAACTGTTTAATGGAAGCTTACCTAGTCACAGTTTCTCTAGCCTTCTCGTCTTTAAAGGGTTGTCGTCATGAGACCTCACCTGTAGCTTACAAAATGAGCTAAATTCACTGTACTCTTCTGGAGGACTGGAGGGCACTTTCTTGACTGCACTGGCAGGGAATGTGTGTGTAGTCCTTGCCTGAATAGCGTGGAACTTGTCAAAGCAACCTTCAGTAGTAGCTCTGGTTCCCATGGCATATTTGTTGTGGAGTGTTGTGTGGAACCTGATATCACTGTCCTTGTTACTGTGACAGAAGCAAGGTAAGGAAGGACTGAGGGTTTACGTGCCGTCTCTGCCCTGGAGGGCAGCCCTCCTGGTGGGACAGCCATGGTGGAGGAAGTATGAAAGGGATGGTCAGATTGTGTCTACAGTCAGGGAGCAGGGAAAGTGAAGGTTCCTGCCACTCAGCTGGCTTCCTCTTGCTTTTCTTTTTAATTCAGTCAGAACTCCAGTGTGTGTGTGGGGGGGGGCGCCCCCACCCCTTACAGGGTTCCTATGAGGAGGAGAGAGGCATAAGGAATTAGTAGATAGAAAGGAGTGGAGATGAGATAGACAGAAACACAGGATAGCTTCGGGAGGACCTGGATCAAAATCCACCGGCCCCTTCTGTCTCTTCTAAAGGACTTTTTAAAGGAATGCCAAGGGGCAGGGGCAAAAGATCTCCCCCTTGCTAGATCAAAGCATATGCTGCCAGCATATTTAAACACAATATAATTTGGAAAAGTTTCCTGGTGCAACACAATCCCTAGTGCATAAGGAGGAAATGATTACACTGAAACTAACTCCAAGGACCTGCTAGTTCTTCCAAGAAGATGGGTTCTAGAGACAGACTGCCTGTGCTAGCTTAGGGCTTAAGGAAGGATCTGGCCAGGTGTAGCAGGAATCTTAAAGAGTCTTATTAATAAAATCAAACCCGAGGCCAGTTATTGGGGTGAACACTGGAAGGTCAGAGAGACAGAACAAGCCACAGCTAGCTCACCTCGCCGGATCCTCAGCTGGTCTTGTTTCCTCAGACTGGAAGCCTCTGTGTCCTCATCCCAATGGCTCTCTGCTGAATTGCTGCTCAAAAGCCTGAAGCTTAACCAGCTAAAAGCTTAACCAGCCAAATGCTTCTAGTTTCTGGTCCTCATGCCTTATATACCTTTCTGCTTTCTACCACCACTCACTGGGATTAAAGACTCGCTTTCTGAGATTAAAGGCATGTGTCACCATGCCTGGCCGTTTCCAATGTGGCCTTGAACTCACAGAGATCCACAGGGATTTCTACCTCTGGAATGCTAGGATTAAAGGTGTGAGTGCCACCATTTTCTAGCCTTTGTATCTAGTGGCTGTCTGTTCTCTGACCCCAGATAAATTTATTAGGGTACACAATATTTTGGGGAACGCAATACCACCACAGCCTGGTCTCAATCATACGGATAGCATAGAGGTCATTTGGCTTTTAGCTACCTCTTGTCCTGGTTGTGGAGCTTCAGGGAGTATCTGGATATACAGATAATGTAAGTGTAGATGTAACCAACCTTCTTATTAAATAAGAAACACAGAACCAATGCAAAGAAGAAAGCCAAGAGTTCAGAGCTAAGAGCTAAAACCTTACCCTTCCTCCTGCGGTGGTCCTACCTCTCCGAACCAGAGCTACCCCTGTGTTAAAGTCTTTATATAGAGTTCCTGTTCTGCCTTCTCATTGGTTGTAAACTCAACCACATGATTGCCTCCTCACGGCCTGTCTGTATAGGCCTCCAGGTTTTCCATGATTGGTATTGAGATTAAAGGCATGTGTATCCAATAATGGCTGTATCCCTGAACACACAGAAACTTACCCAGCTCTGCCTACCAAGTGCTGAGATTACAAGAGTACGCCACCACTGCCCTGCTTTCCTATGGCTTGCTAATAGCTCTGACCCCCAGGCAACTTTATTTATTAACATAAAAATAACATTTTAATACAAATAAAATATCACCATATTTCCCCTCTTCTATTTTAATAAAAAGAAAAAAAGCTTATAACTAACATAAGAAAAACTATATACAAAAGTACAATAACTATATACAATATAAGTTCATTTGTATTTGACAAATTCAGAGAAAATAATTCCATTATCTATTCTATTGTATCTAATTCACTTTCTATCCTAATTAATCTTCAACTATAACTAACTAATCTTCAACTCCCTCAGAGACCCAAGAAGGAAATAATATTAGCTAACAAAAAAATAAAAACAGGAAGTATATGCAAGCAACTTCCAAAAAATTGTGAGTTGACAGAAACAGCCAGCTGCCTGGACAATCATCTGAGGTTTCTCCTCAGTGTTGGGGCATCATCTTCAGCCTATAGGCTTAGCATATCTGACAGACTCATTTGTGAAGTAGGATGTACACAAGGTCAACAGTTCAACCTCACATTGGGTGAGAGCAGTCCATGTACCAGAAACACCTGAATTCCACTAGTGTCATGTCATGATTCAGGATTTTAAATTCTGGAAATTGTTGATGGTTTTCTAATTCAGCTGTCCATTCTTCTTGGCTGTGTATATATGGCTTCATCTCAGCATCCCGTTCTTCTCCACATCCCTCTATCAAATGCCAGTCTACTATTGAGAGGCGTGAGCTTAGTTACTCTTCAAGAATAACTGTTTCAGCTGCTGTTCCATTGCACATCAGAGGCCATCAGCCCATTGCCTGTTCAGCTGCCTTCGAAGTAAAGGGCACTGTACCTTTTCCGAATTGCGAAGGCCACTTCAAGGATGGTGCCATATTGTCCTGGCCTCAGAAGATGCCTTTTGATAAAGCCATAACCACACTTGTTTTGGCAAGAATCAGTAGTCCTTTATTTCATTTCCTGTCTGTCCATTTTGTCAGCAGTTGATTCGAGGATACTTTGTTGTCCAGTGGCTAACTTTTGCCACAATGAAAGTTAACACCATATGCAGTTTCTTCAATGCCCATATTTTCTCTGAAGTAGATTGGTACTGCCAGGAGCCAACATGTCTCAAAAAAGAAAAAAATTCTAAGTTATTAAAACATTTTAAATGCCATATTCTGCAGATCTCTAAAGGGTTTGAAGATGACCTGTCTAAAATATATCTGCTCAATTTTTAAAACATATCTAATATGACTACAAGTTCTATTCTAATGTCTAACTACTAAACTTCATTTCTTTATATCCTAATAGTTGGTAATAATAACATTCAAGGATCAGAAAATTGCATTACATTGTTAAATGAATGGTACAATTAGAAATATACATAAAGCATTTTCTAACAATATCAATTTCAATATATATAATTTGTATACAATATAAAACAATCCAATCCAATGTAAAGTATTTAAAACTAGTAATTGTCTTTTTTATTCTTCTTTCTTTCTCTTTTTTTTTTTTTAAACAAGAACCTTAAATCTAATCTCCTTTGCTTAGGCTTTTTCCTAACCCTTGACAACAACTTGTAACCAACCCCCCTAATTAATGAAAATTATCCCAGACCCAAAACCCATTAAAAGACCAAAAAAACCACCCGTCCCACACCACCTCTTTGGGAATGTGGGCGTTGTATTCTTGAAATTGTTTCCTGCTGGGTATGGGCGAAGGTATCTTTATCCTGAAAAGAAAAATTTTAGGTTAATTGTCAAATTCTAGGAAAGGTAACTATATCCTTCGTTATCCAGTCTGTGCATAATGCCAAAGTTCAGGGTTTATCTCAAGTCCTTATTCAAGTAGTCTTTGAGACTGGATCATCTCAGCTAGTCATCTCAAAATTGCTCTGAGCACCTTGTAGTTCAAAGCTGATCTGTAGATGATGTTTGTCAGCTTAGTGATATTATTATTGTCCACGTGGAATTGTTGTTGTTGTGGGGCCCCATCTTCTTCCTGGAGACTTCAGTTTATGTTAGGCCTGACCGTGATTTCCTGCAAAAAACTGATAAGAAACTCGAACACAAAGACTATATATGCGACTTTTTAGAATTGACCATTTATATCTTAACAAGGTTTAAAATGTATATATATCTATATATATTAATCTTGTAAATTTTGATATAAAATTTATACTTTAAGAAAAGTTTAAAGAATCAGAATAGAATCAAATAGTTGAGATTAGTAATAGAGTAGTCCCTTAATTAATTTGGCTTTTCTCCTGTCCCATAGCAGAAGATGACTCTTTTCTTCTGGCATGATACAGGGAGTTTGCATTTTCCTTTTAATAACATGCTTGAGTTTAAAGAAGGAGAGAGCCATTCTCCAACTCCAAAGTCAGCTTTAAATTTTAATTGAACTGGGACTATTAGAAGACCAATAGTGTTAAATCTTTAAAGAAAAACAGAAACAAACATTTAGGAAGACATAAAATTTTTTAGATAACATACCCATACGCCATTTCACTCTGTTTCTTAGGATAGACGATTTGTCCCTTTTC